ACGGCGACACAGGAACGTCAACGTGAACGTGACACCTGGACGAGGGGTTGACGTCGATTACGCGTGTTGGACGAGGGCGTGAAGCGTACCACGGGTCTCTGTCTTCTTTTGACGGGCAAGGTTAGTTAGGTTCCAACAGCCGGTCGGGATATGGAGTATGGAACGATTGGTTCGGGCGCCTGCTGGCCCGAGCGCGTGTGAATGTGTGTGTGTGTGTGTGCGTGAGCCTCATCAACCAACTCGTCTCTCCGGCATCTGGGATCACTTTGCATGGGGTAGACCGTGCATCATGGTCAAGTGTGCCACCAAGGGCTGCGAGAAGCAGGCCTCCATGCGATGCCCCACCTGCATCAAGATGAACATTGACATTGGTTCCTTCTTCTGCTCCCAGGTGCCTTGGTTGCTTCTTTGGCGTTGAACCCAGGCGGGCATGGGTGTTGAGACTCACGGCCCGCTCGGACCATCTTGCCCTGCCCTTGCACTGCCCTTGCACTGCGCGCGTTGCTCGTCTCTCTGTGGTAGGAATGCTTCAAGAGCAACTGGAACGAGCACAAAAAGGTGCACAAGCTCGCCAAGCTCGCCATTGAGCGGTCGACGACGGGTGAGAGGCGCCGCCGCGTGTGCCTCTATGGGCGGGCAATTTGTTGCCCCGCAGCCCCTGATGGATTGGCTCATGCTGCGTGCACCTTGATCTCGCTTGTTCAGTCTTGGCCGAGTCCACGCCCATGACTTTTCCCGGGTTTGAGTTTACGGGCACCATGCAGCCATATTCGCAATCGCCCCGCCGCCCCATCCCTCCCCACATTGAAAAGCCGGACTATGCCACCCACCCACTCGGTGAATCCATCAGTGAGACTCGCAACAAAGCCCAGCTCCGCCAGCTCTCCGAAGATGAAATCGCCAAGATGAAGCACGTCTGCAAGGTTTGACACCAGCCACGACCACCGGTGCTGCCCCTGCCCTGCCCTACGTGCCTCATTCGTCGATTTGATTATCGGTGTGCATCTTCGCAATGACCATTACAGCTCGGCCGCGAGGTCTTGGACGCATGCGCCGCCGTCATCAAGCCTGGCGTCACGACCGACGAAATTGACGCCGTTTGCCACAAGGTAGTACATGTCTCCTAGCACCCAGACATGCTTTACCATCCGCTTTCCTATGCAAAACCTCATTTCGCCCCGCCCGTGCCGGCATGACCTACCTCAGGCTTGCCTCGAGCGTGATTGCTACCCTTCGCCTCTCAACTACTACCAATTCCCAAAGTCGTGCTGCACGTGCGTCAACCCGCTCGCCTCGCATGAGCAAGACCCCCTTTGGCCCACTCACTACTTCTGTGCCTTTTCGCCAGGTCAATTAACGAAGTCATCTGTCACGGTATCCCCGACGGCTATCCCCTCAAGGACGGTGATATCATCAACGGTCAGTGTTTTTTTTTTTTTTTTTTTTTTTTTTTTTTTTTTTTTTTCAGCATGCTCGAGTCTCTCGAGTGTCCTTTGCGCAGGACTGCAAATGGGCTTGTCTTGAAACTGTCAGGCCTCTCATTTATTGATTTGTTTGCAACGTCACAACGCGCAGTGGATATCTCCGTATACTATCATGGCTACCATGCCGACCTCAATGAAATGTTCTTGGTCGGCGAGGTTGACGATGAGTCATTCCGCCTGGTGAAGGTGACCTACGAATGTCTATTCCGTGCCATTGCCATGTGTAAGTCGGCGCAGGTTACCCCCACCCTTGTTCTTGGTGCCGGCGCCAATGTTTTTCCATTGCCAACGACCGGGGGTGCCACTACCTCTCATCATCATCACCACTCGGTCCTGCTCGCCTTGCTCTGCATTATACCACAGGCAAGCCGGGCGTCCGATACCGTGATTTGGGTTCGGCCATCTCCAAGCATGCCGAGGCGAATGGGTTTTCCGTTGTCAAGACCTATTGTGGCCACGGCATCAACAACCTCTTCCATTGCGCGCCCAATGTTCCCCACTACGCCCGTACGTCCCGCACAGCCCCTTGTGGCTGCCTAACAATTGTGGCTCTGGACCTGCGCTCTTGCGTTGCTGTGTTGTCCGGTGTTAACCTTGCTTTTTGCTGCAGGAAACAAGGCGGCTGGCGTGATGAAGCCAGGACACACCTTTACCATTGAGCCCATGATCAACGTCGGTGCGTTTATTTTGCGCCCCTTCTGGCCTCATTCCCTTTGCTGCACATCCGTGTCGACCAATAAGGTGGCTGCCGGCGCTGTGCATCCTGTCCGTTTTATCTGCTCAACGAGGTCCCCTCGCGTTTAGGTACTTGGGGTGACGTAACCTGGCCGGACAACTGGACTTCTACGACCAAGGTCAAGCCTGGGCGACGCGCTCTTGGCCTCTCTTTCCACGCTCAATGAGAACTGACATGTTGTTGTCCTGCTCTTGCACATTGAACAGGATGGCAAGCGCTCAGCGCAGTTTGAACACACACTGCTGGTGACGGAGGATGGCATTGAAATTCTCACGGGCCGTACACCCGATTCACCTGGTACGCCCCTGCATCTCAGCCAGAGGTGGATTAAATGTCTGATAAAGGCATGGCGTCTTCTCCTTCCGCCTGCCACTGAGCGCTGTGCTTCATCGACCCTCATTGTCGCAAACCTTTGCTTTCATCGGTGATGGCTCTTCTCGCCTCGTCGATGCTATCTGCAGGAGGTACCAACTGGTTTGCCAACGTGGTCAAGGCCAAGGGTTTGGAGCTCGACTTGGGTGACAATGTACCCGAGGCCATTGCGGCAGCCGCCTCTGCATGAAGAAGAGGTGTCCTGAGCATCTCGCCTTGGGATCTTTTGCTGTAGTAGCTTGGTCGCCTGGCGCCCTCTGGCCATGAGCCGGGATGAGCGCTGCGCTAGTCTTTTGCGCCTTGTGGACCCCTGGTCACTGCTCCTTGCCCTGTTGTCAGGCTGTGTGGGGTCATCCACGATGGGTCGCTTTTGTGTTTGGTCTCGGGAAGGCAGTTGCGCGTTTCAGCACGTTCAGACTGCTCACAGTCAATCTATCAAGTCTTTACGCTTCCTCTTCTCCAGAGTTGATTGAACATGACCACCCGCCGCAGTCCAAGACGATCCAACTCCAAATTCTCTGTTTTTGTTTTTTGTTTTTGACTTTCTGTCTCTCTATCTCTCTGGCTCTCTGACTCTCTGGCTCTCTGGCTCTCTGGCTCTCTATCTCTGGCTCTCTGGCTCTCTGGCTCTCTGGCTCTCTATCTCTGGCTCTCTGGCTCTCTGACTCTCTGGCTCTCTATCTCTGGCTCTCTGGCTCTCTATCTCTGTCTCGCTGTCTCGCTATCTCTCTATCTCTCTGTCTCTATCTCTCTATCGCTCGATCGCTCTGACTTTCAAAAAATTTTCTGATCCAAATTTTTTTTTTTTTTTTTTTTTTTTTTTTTGAATCATCATCAGTGAAATTTTTTTTTTTTTGACTGTTGATGTGTGTGTACTGTCGCCGTCTGTGTGTGTGTGTTTGGCAGCCCCCTCGTCGTGTGGCACGGTTTGCGGGATACTGGCAATCTACCTGGGGGGGATTCTCTCTGCGTTGATTGGGCCTTGTTCCAGCTTCAGTGACCTGCTTGTACGCCGAGGCCTTTCCACAAGCTCCAAGCAAAGACAGCCAGCTTGACTTGAGGTACGACTGGATGTAGGATCGCCAGAAGATCTTCAATGGCACCCGTGCAAAAGCCCTTGAAGCCTTAGAGCCCGTGGTGGCTACAACAGCGCAGCTGTCCATGCCTGCATGCAGCGTTCCAAGCTCTTTTGATGGTGGTGTTGGTGGTGCAGTGTTGTCTCAACTATTTTGACTTCTGCAACCACACATCGGCTCCCCTCGCTTATCGCTGGCATTTCGATTTTAGGCGTCAACATCGCCGGCACTTGAGGGCGCCTCGGCTGCCCTGAGCGCTGTGTGCGGTCCTTCATTGAGCGCCTGATTACCGGGCAGCCCTGAGTGGTTCGGCCGTCTGGCGTCACGCTGTAATACTCGATAAGGTTAGTCGATCCTCCTCTGCCGTGTTGCCCTATTTTGTTAAAAAAAAAAAAACATTGGCGAGACCATTTGATGGCATCTGGGCGACCGGGACAATCAAGACTTGTAAAGACTTGCGCACACGCCCCGACTTGAATGATTTTCGCCTGTGCTCTTGCCTTTCCACATGATGGCTCTCGCTCTCGCCGCCGCCTCATGTATGTGAACCATCACGCTTCTTCGCCAGTCAGGAACGTGCTTCGCCAGGTGCAACCGCGCATTTGCGGCGGCCGCCTGCCCGCCTGCCCGCCGACGCCGGCCTTCTTGCCTCTGCGCTTTGCATCTGCCCTTGCCGTGCCCATTCCACCTCCACCGCTTCTCGCATACCATAATGTCAAACACCGATGCCCGGCCATTTGATCGCGCCCACGCCATTGCGCGCGCTCCACAAGAGCCTGATCGACACCCAGAAATCTCCACCCCCGTGGAATTTGAGCACTTTCTTCACGTTGGTGTCAGCAACCTTGCCGAGGTGAATGAGCTGTGCCTCGACCAACAAGCCAAGTTTCAAGAAGTCGTCGAGCGACGTCAGCGACGGCTGCCCGAGACCCCAACGCAGCGCTTCTCTGACGAACAGCACACCCAGCGTGCCACCCCGAAGCTCACGCCCTCCCACGCCTCCTCAAGCAGCCTGCAGAGCAATCGGCGGTACTCCCGCACCACCTCCACCAAAGTACGCGGCTATGGTGCTTGTCCGTCGTGTGTGCATGAACCCGAATCGCTCCATGACATTCTCCTACCACCCCAACAAGGCTTGCCCTCACCACTTGATGCTCTCCCGGGTACAGATGCTTAAGGCTTTTATGCGCAGCGATAGCCCCAAAAGCACGGCCACGGATGACGAACTCCGTCTGCACATTGCGGATGCCATCCATGCTGTGGAAAACAACCAGGTGGAGAAACTCAACGATCTTCTCAAGCGTGAAATTATCGACGTCAACTCGTGCGTTACCTTGTGATCCCACTCGCCATGCCCGGCCACCAACCCTGTCGCCCCGCGCCCCGCGCTCTCCCTGTGCTCCACTTCATGCATGTTCCTTTGGGGGGTTCCAACGGCTGCCGTTGGATCTTTGCTAGGCGGGATGATGACGAACACACTCTTCTTGATTTGGCCGTCATGCTTAACCTGCGAGGTGCAGTCCGACTTCTCCAATTATACGGCGGGATCGAGAACGACAAATGTATGTCCTAGCCCAGCGATCTTTGTGGACCGTGCACCCCGCACCTTTCTGACGTGTCGTTCGGCTTCTCAGATACCGATGCCAAAGCACGCAAGACGCGCCTCGAGGTGATTCTACGAGCCAAGCAGGTACGGTGCCCCAACCGCCTTTGTATCCCAGTGCACACAGCCCACCATGTTTTTGGCAGCCGTACACCTGGGACGTGACACAGTTCCTGGCCTCACGCGGCGTCGTCTGGCGCGGTGATATGGTAGATTGAGGTTCGCAAAATTCTCACCGCGATTCAAGAGGGGAATGATCGACTCTACCAAGAGTACGACCTCAAGAACAAAATGTGCACGCGCGCTGAGCTGCTTTTCCGAAAGTTTGACAGTAACTATCGCAAAGCCGGTACGCCACCTCGAGCCTTTTGACTTGGCATGACCCCCACATGTGCATCGTTGGACAAGCGTTTGCTCGCGCCAGTGTCATGGCCCCCGTCGCTTTGTTAATCGACGTTTCCTCTGCTCAGGTGTTCCAGCGGCGCCCAGCCTGGTCAGATTGAGTGTGCATTCGCCCACCTCGATCCGCGTGCAAATCGGTCACGTGCGCGACCACGGCCAGGCCGTAGTGACCCGCTACAAGGTCGAGTGGAGTACCGATCCCACCTTTGCAGACAGCCAGCATGTCTTCATTCCCAGCGTAGTGGAATCCTACATCTTGGAAGGACTGGTCGAGGTGGGTTCAGGCTTTTACGTCTTGAAGAACTGCACACACACACACACACACACACACACACACACACGAAGCAGCTTTTGCAGGGGATGGAACAGATAAGCGCCCATTCATCTCAACGTGACTCATGCCTCCTTTCACTCCTCGCATTTCAGGGCGCTCCTTGTTACATACGAGTGGCCTCTCTCAATATCAAGGGCGTGGGTCCAGCTGTGAAGGCACAACCCCCCTTCATCGTCCCGTCGTCTTGGCGACAGCTTGATGATCGTCCTTATCGCACCACTCGCCTACGGACTAGCCTGGCTGCCATTCAGGACCAACTCATGTCAATTGGTGTCGAAAATGACGATGGCTCCTTTGGAGCTTCAGGAGTGCCAGCCACACCCTCCAAGGCCAAGGCCAAACTGATGGCCAAATTTGGCTCAGGTTTGAAGCCCGTGCGCCAGGTCAAGCGCGGCTTGCACCTGGCCGTGGTAGCATTCGACCCTGCTCAGCCCTCGCGCGTCCTTACCATCAATGGCACACCGCCCGTTGTGCCCATCGAGGCTTCTGTCTCTCCGCAAGAGACGGCCGCCCTTGTTCAGGTGGGTCTCAGCGCTTCCACTCTTGTCACCATCAAATCTTTTCGGCTCGCCGCGCTGACCGTCCTACTTGTGCATTGCAGTGGATACAACAGCTTAGCTTTGATTGGGGTGCTTCACGAGGCATGGCGGATCTCACCGAAGACGTGGCCTCGTTGCAAGCCCGAAAGCGTGCGGCCGAAGCCGTTGCCTGCCTGCAAGGACTGTTCAATACCCTCGATCTTGGCCTCTTGTATCACGAGCCCATCAAGGAGGACAACGGCGCCCTGATTATCACCGCGGTGCAAAGCCTCCCACAGAGTGAATGGTCTGGCATCAGCAATGCGCTGAGTTGGTCGGACACTGAAGGACTTGCCGTCAGTAGTACACCGGGAGGCGCGGATGCTGCATCCACGCCTGCTCGTCTTCTGTCCAGTCTATCAGACCTTGTGACATTTGCCAGTGGGGCCATTGAACCACAACTGGAAGGCCTGTACCTCTCCGTGCTTGTGCCGCGCTCCACTGTCGGTGGCCTCCAAGTAACGGTGCTGAAGCACCAAGCGGCCGTGTTGCCGCTCGTTAGGTGAATGTAGTGCCCGCGCTCGACTTTCAACCTCACATGCCCCCTCCCCGCCTGTTCTGCGGTACTGCACGACCACGGGCTCACACCCCGTTGCGTCATCGTTTTGTGCGAACAATCCTGTAGGCTACGGACCGCGCACAACATCTCCCGCGATGAATGGGCCTATCTCCGCGGTGCAGGTCAGAACACGGAACGGGGACGCGAGGGCACAGCGACACACGGACACGAGCTGCTCAAGAGTATCGTGGAGCAGGCACCAGCTGCGCTAGCACTCTTGGGCATCCCGGCCTCGGCCGCCCCCCAGTGGCGCTTGTATGCCGACAATGTCTGGGAGTTGTCGCCACAGGCTTCAGCTCTGGTGCTCGTGTCACCGAGCAGCGAGTTTTTGACTGAAACGACGCACAAAGCTCATTCCGAGAATCGCGATCAGCTAGTTATGCCCGCCGCCTGGTTTGAACGACTTTGTTGGCAAACGCTGGATCCCGATGCCCACCAGCAATATAGTCGCTTATGGTTGCAGGCCGGCAATTTGGCGAGCCAGCTGCAATATGAAGCTCGTGCAGCGCTGGGCGCCGAGGGTGCCTCTAAGCGTCAAATGGCCAATGTGGCCGCCGAGGCACAACGCAGGTACGCGCAGGTGTGACGTGGTATCGTGCCTTGAGCAGCTGAAGGATCGCCGTCCAACATGTATTTTGTGAATCTGTTCATCTGCATGCTTTGAAGGCGTCGCAATATGCTGTGCTGTTTGCCACATGACCTCATCAGTTCTCGGTGTGCGGCAGCTTGAGCGCGGTTTGGAATGAAGCCCAGCTTCTTCCAGCAGTCATCAAGGAGTGCCGCCAGAAAGAAGATGAGGCTCACGTCTTTCCCCTGGGACAGCTCAAGCAAGCCATTCGTGTCATGCCTGCTCTACCAGCTGAGGCTGAGCAGGCTAGATCGGCGGCCAGCAAATCCCTCATTTCAGAGCTGAGAACAGATACCGCTGGCATGGGCTCACTTGTCGTCTTTATAGCCGCTCGCACCCGCCACCATGACATGGTGAAGCGTGAGCTGCGTCTTCCTTTCTCTGCCACCGCCGGACACGTGTGTAAGCATCTAATTGCCAAGCTGGGATTGCCGGAGAGTACGGAGGGGGGCCTTGTGTTGGTGACACCCGATGGCAAGCAAAAGCTCTTGCAACGTGACAGCCGTCCTGTGTTGATGAGCGTACGTTGTGATGCTTTGATGAGCCTGACGCCGCTTGATGATGAAACTGGAAAGGAGGAGTGCCAAGCTCACATGTGGCTTGCGATTGCACCTGATAGGCACATTACCAGCACATTGGCGTTCGATTGGTCTTTCGTGAGGTTGGCGGAGGATAGCAGCGAGGGAGTGTCCCAAAGTACCTTTTCTGTTTTGCTGTGGGGCTCCTCCAGCGATTATGCTATGAAACCTGGCTGGTGTGCTTGGGGATCTGGTGATGGTGATTCCCACTGCCCTGCCTGTCTCCTACCATCTGCATCTGTGCTACTGTGTTCTTCGTTCCGAAGCCTCGTGTGAATAATTATTATTACTATGGTCTCTCAAAATCTGTGCGACTGCGAGTCCGACGAAGCATATCCATCCATGGGATAGTTTAGGGTACTGGGGGTGCGAAGATAGCGTCGTACAACGTGCGTTTTTTCAATCGAGCAATGACGGCTCTTGCCCTCGAAAAGACGCAGAAGCAGCAAGGTCCAAACCTCGGCATGGGATTTGGGGTCGCGAGTCATGGGAATGGAACTTGTAACCGACTACCTTAGGAAAGAAACGATTAAAGTGTGTCAAAAATTCCTCAAGTTGTGAAGTGAAAGTCATTGTTTGTTTTCTTTTGCATCACGCCTACCGTATCTTGCGTTGACATGGTGGTCTACGTGACAAAATCAAACTGTCTCGTCGGCTTCGACACAAAACCGGCGCGGCACCCGACCTGCCTTCTCGTAGAATTGACGTAGCAGTTGCCTGTGATTGCGTTTTGCAGGGTGGTTGTGGTGATAATTCAAGTCGCGTCACCGTTTATCAACTTATCTACTAAGGGCGGTAGGTGGTTGTGTTCCTGTGAAAAGGGGCTTGAGTACATCCCCACTCAACGATTGGTCATTTTTTTTTCCATCTACGATAAACCCACAAGCCAGGTACATTTCGTTAAATGTGGATCCGACTTTGCCAGCATGATCAAGAACGCAGTGCAAAGCGAAGGGCAGCCCCCCAACTTGAACTGCCTGGTGTGTCAAGACACAGCCAAGGCAGGCAAGCGCTACTGCAAGTCATGTTATGGCGTTCTCTACAAACACATCAAGCAAGTGATCGAGATGATCCACCGCGAGGGCAGCCGCTTTGAGACCGACGGAACCTCGACCGAGATGCTCATACGCCTGCGCGAAGCAATGTCACGCACCAAGCAGCGACTGCGGCGACCTTGCAGCGGTATGAATGGTCACGTTGGCGATGATGAAGGCGCCTCTGGGCGACTACTTGAGTCGTCGACAGGCGCATCCGAGCAGCTTCCGACATTGTGCCCTTATTCTTCCTCGATGCTGGTGGGCTGGTGATGTAGGTCATTGCGATCCATACGCGTTCCACTTTGAGACGCCTGCACAGCACAAATGCGCTCGCTGCCGAGTCTTGAGCTGCATAGAACATCTGCCACGTATGTTGTCTCCCTAGTACAGCTTAGCTTGATTTTTTTTTTTTTTTTTCGGTAAAATTAGCAGGGCCCGGCCACTCACCCAAAGTTTGCTCCCTCCTTGATTGTTCAATGTCAAAGGTCTGACGCTTCAGCTGCTGCGCATGCACCTTACTCGAGCTGTTGCATTGGCTGAGCAAACTGTCACCATGTACTCGGAGCTCGATGAAATTTCTCAGGTATGTGGCAAGCAAGCTGGCTTCAAATTGGGCGGATGGATGATTCTGTTTGCATTTGCGCCTCTAACTCTTTCTCCTGTTGATGCTTTTTCCGGTAGGACCAAGACTCATCGCAAGAGCTGTCAACGGCTAGCAATGCCTCGGCCTTTGCTGGTGTGGCCACGTGCGGTGCGTCTGCTCTTCTTGTACTTTATTCATTTGGTCTTTCATACGGTGGGGCGGCAGCGACAAGGAAGGCTAGACTTGTTGATGCATTCCGAGCATCACTTGGAATGGCCACCTGCTCATTGTGCAAACTCTCTGTGCTATTACAACACAGGCGATGTGAATCAAGCGCAGGCCACCGCGGAGCAGCTAAACAAGTTGCCTCAGCTGGCCGACATTTTGGAATCCGGTCATCTCGTGCCGCAGTTTGTCAACACAAATAGTGGCCCCATGCTCGTGCTCATGCCGGCTACGGCACCCCTGCTGTCGGTTCTGCTGGAGACAAGCTCCAGCCGTGAGGAACAGCTCCGAGTTGACCCCGGCCCGACCGGTCCGCACTTCACATCGTCCAGACTGGAAGACAGCCCACGAAGCGTCACGGCACGAGGTCGCATGCCGTGGGAGGTCCAGGAATGCGCCGGCATGGAAACCCATTCTTTTCTAATGGAGACCACGCAAGCATCCGACGAAGACTTCGCGCTGGCTGATGAGATGACACACGGACGAACCTGCTGGATGGACAATGAGCTGCCCTCATCGACAGCCACGACTGTGCCCTTGAGTCACGGCATCGCCTTTGCCATGACTGGACCCTCGAAGACGCCATGCCGCTATGAGGCCACGCAGAGCTTAGATTGGCAGTCAACCTTGTTCTCAAGCGCTGCCAGTCAAGGGCTTGCGCCCGCCCATCAGGGAAGCTTGCCCCTCTGGACGAGTCCAGTGATATCGGGTTGAGAGAACCCCCCACACTCGACCCTGGTGCCCTTGGAACACCCGTATTAATAAGTAATAATATTGAATAGTTGCAGTAATGTATAAGAAAACGTGTCATTCGCGTTGCGCTGCCCTTGCTCTCCCTCTGTCTCTGTCCCTCTCTCTCGCGCTCTCTCTCGCCCTCGCTGTTTCTCTTTTTGACCCGCATGGCCTAAGAACCTCGAGTTATAAATTCAGGACCGTAAAGCATCATCTCTTAGACTTTTCAACCCTTGTTGGCTCGAGAGACTTCAGTTGTTACGGCTTTGGGTGTTTCCACTCGCTTGCCATCGTATGAAGCAGTTATGCCCGGGTTTCACCAGAGTTGAAATGGGATCCTCGCGCGATTCATAGGACATCGTCGCTTCCTGACGTAGCACAACGAAGACGTTGAACATGCAAAAAAAAAATAAAAAAAACAACACAACAACAAAACCAGCGCTGTCAAGACCAGTCTGCAGCACTGGAATACAAGCATTGGAAGTAGAAACGGCCAAGCTGCGGATCGTAAAGAGCAAATATTCCACTTCGCTCGCGGTGCATGCTCGCCCCGGCACTCAGCTCAGTCCCAGTGGCGCGAAAAACTTGGAAGAAAATCAAACTAAACTCGGTTAAAGAACGATTATGTGGAGAAGATGAAGATTTGTTAACGTATTAAAAACAACTTCTTGTCGGCAAAGACCACGAGAGCGAGCGCCTATAAACATGTTGAAACAAGTTTTTTGGGTAACGGTATCATGACCGTTTCATTTTTTTTTTTTTTTTTTTTTTGCGAACAAACCTCTGGTCTGGTGCGCTGAGTTGAGTTTTGGCAGCGCCGGGAGAGGGCCTTGCTGAATGCAATTCTCATCCTAACACAGCATGTCCTGCTTGAACTGTGCCGCTTGAGCTGGGAAAGGTGCAAGCAAGAGACCCTGCTCTTATTCTTCGCGCCCCGGCATGGGCCAGCTCTCGGGCTGATCAAGTGGTGTCAGGCAATTTGTCTCAGCTCCCGCCGCCTGGGCCTGGCGTTCCAGCGCCATGGCTATTACCAAGGTTTTGATGGTGGCAGAAAAGCCAACCGTGGCCAAAGGAATTGCTCAAATCCTTGCGCCTGGCTGCCGGCGGGTACGAACCCCCGGACCGCGCCTCTTCGCCTTTACTCTCTTTTCCCCGACTTTCCCTCAACTTTCCTCAGTGCCAGCTGCGCGCAGCGCAGTGTTGGCTTACCAGTCGGGACATGCTCATGTTTTTCCAATATTTCACTTGTGCGTCTAGGAGGCTACCAATTGCACCTACGTGGGGCTCTGGGACTTTAATATAAAGATTGAAGGCCGCCCTTGCAACGTGAAACTCACCTCCGTGCTTGGCCATTTGATGACATGGGAGTTTAAAGATGCCTATCGTGGCTGGTATGCTTGTGCGCCTGGTTTTTGGACAGTTTTATGATCGAACGTGCTCTGGCCTCACTTCAAGACGCCGGTGTTTATGCTCCGCGGATATTGCAGGCACAGCTGTGCGCCCCAGGAGCTGTTTGACGCACCACTTCAGCATGTGGTCAACGATCGTCCTGGCGAGACCAATTGCGCCACGATCAAGGTGCAGACCCGTCGTCTGGCTGCCTTTGTGATGTCTCCTTGCTACTCTGTGTATCTGTGCGTCGTGTTTTCGGGAATTTGCTGTTGTCTTTTCTCTGAACGGTGTCGGATTTGTGTGGTGTCGGATACTTGCTTCTTCAGACCTTGCTGCAAAAGTACGCACGCACCTGCGATTGGCTGATCATTGCCACAGACAACGACCGCGAGGGTGAGAACATTGGATTTGAAATCATCGAGGTCTGCCGGCGAGGTACGTCAGCCCGCTCCACGGCCGAGCCATTTCTTTTTCAAGTACCCGCTTGAGCGACGGCTCATGTCAACTGCTCTAATGCCTGTCTTTCGCATGCATCAGTAAACCGCAACCTTGATTGCAAGCGCATGAAGTTTTCAGCCGTAACGCCGGGGTAGGACCGTTTTGGATGCAGTTCCATTGCTCTGCCCCTGGTCTTTCTCCCCTCCCCTGGTCTTTCTCCCCTCTCGCCCTTACGGTACATGACGCATTCCTGTCATTATCAGAGAAATCAACGGCTGCTTGACTCGCCTGGTGCCTCCTGACCAACGAGCTTCGCAAGTATGTTGTGTTCACTTGTGCGGCTCGGTTCCTGGCTCCAAGCTGCGAGGCTTCAGAATGCCCGGTATGCTCATCTGGCTGAGCGACATAGGCGTGCGTGGCTCGACAAGAACTGGATCTTCGCATCGGCGCCATTTTCACTCGATTCCAGACGCTGCGGCTTCAGGCCCTCTACCCCGCGCGCTTTGGTCGCGAAGCACGCAAGCAACCCATTAGCTATGGTAAGTGCGCGAGTCGCCCGCTGACGTGGCTTTGGACGTGAAAAACACAAAAACACAAAAAACAAACAACAAAACAACATTAAAAAAAAAAAAAAAAAAAAAAGAACTTTGCGGAAGGGCCTCATCGCGGCTTGCTTGATACAGGACCTTGCCAATTTCCAACCTTGGGCTTTGTTGTTGAGCGCGTAAGTAGAATCTTTTGCTCTTGGCCCGACATTCTTTGTTTGCTGCGATAGGAAGTTTGCTGCAGTGCTGCTTGTTCCGAATTTGACTGGATCTACATCTGTTGCTATGCGAGACAATGCAGTTTCGTAGCCATGAGAGCTTTGTGCCCGAAGACTTTTGGAAGCTGCGACGTATGAGACACCGCTTGTTTGGCTAAAAGCCCGTGTTTATTCTCATCAAGTCTTGCTTTCGGCAAATGTTCACGCTGCAGTTTTACACCAGGAGCAGAGCGAGGCGGGTGATGACTACAATGTCGAGTTCTCTTGGCACCGGTATCAGCTGCCGCTTAGCTCATAAGGCACCGCCTGGCCCTGTTCCATCAATGGTCGTTTTATGCATGTTTGTCTTGTCATTTTACGTGCTTGTTTAGGGGCCGTGTCTTTGATGAGCAAGTGGCTGGTGTTTTGGCAGATCGCTGTGAACCCGAGGCGGCGCGTGTGGTCGATGTGCAATGTACGTCCAAAGTGAACGGCCAGGCCATAGGGCAGTCGTCTCCACTCTTGCTGGCTTTGACTCACAGCGTCCCATCGACTGCCTTGCAGCTCGCCAGCGCAGCAAATATCGGCCGGTTGGTCTTACTACCACGGTAAGCAGGTCGCCAACTTTGCCGTCTTGGTTGGCTTTTGAATCTTAAATTATGGTTTTTGTTTTATTCTTTGTTTGTCATGATCAGGAAATGCAAAAAATCGCGTCGCGCCGCTTCAAGATTGCCCCTGCGGATTCGCTTAGCGCTGCCGAAAAGCTGTACCAGCAAGGGTACGTAGGCTCCAGGGGCGGCACGCTGCCAGTCCTGTGTCTACGATATCATTATTCACTTTTTGGTCGATTTTGCGATGCCCGTTGCGCTGGTTTGGCTCGTTTGCAATATTAGTATTTTGAGTTACCCACGCACGGAAACGAACAAATTCGACTCGAGCATAGACTTGCGCCCGATGGTGGAGGTATTCGCACAGCACAGTCTCTACGGGGCGTTTGCCTCCTCACTCCTCGAGGTATGTACGCACGGAGCAGCGACGCACTCATCATGACTTTCGTCAACATCAGTGGTCAATGTGCTTCGTGTCAAGCCGTCTGGCTCTCATGGGGGGTTGAATTCCATATGCCAGGGGCAGGGGCCAACGCCCCGGAATGGAAATAAATCCGATGAGGCCCATCCACCGATTCATCCGACCAAGAGCGTGAACAACCTTTCGGGGCGCGAGCAGCAAATTTACGATCTCGTCACGCGTCATTTCTTGGCATGCTGCTCACGCGATGCCCGAGGCGAGGAGACCACGGTCACGGTGCACAAGGGCGATGAAGTGGTACGTCAAATGGAGGCATTGAGCGCGCGTGGTCTTATTTGGGAGTCATCAAGCTTCCATCCTTTCCATCTTTCCAGCCTTTTGACATGGTGTCGCATTGATGTGTAACCGCGCATCCTGGGCATGGCCTATTTTGCAGTTTACGGCAAAGGGATTGGTCATCCGCGACCGCGGATACCTGGAGATTTATCATCCCTACGACAACTGGGGCGGCAAGGTTGGCTTTTCGAAAAAGATCTGGCCCGGTCAAAGCTTTGGCTACATGCGTCAGAAGGAAGGAGACGATGGGGTTTGAACTGCTTGGCTGATCATCTTTTATTGTCGTTTATCGTCGTCTGCTTTAGATGCTTCCCCCCTACACTGTGGGCCAAGAACTGCCCGCAAACTGCGAGGTTTGTGTTCACCGCCAGTGCGCGACTTTTTTCATAGATGTGCGTGGGCAAATCGTTGTCTCATCGTCGCGCTCGCACCCACTGTTCTTTTTGGCGCTTTTGCCTTGTGCGACAGGTGTTGGTGGGCGAAACTTCCGCGCCCGCCCTGTTGACCGAGGCCGATCTCTTGTCTCTGATGGCCCGATATGAGATTGGAACAGATGCGACCATGGCCGAGCACATCAAAAATATCCTAGAGCGTGAATATGTTTGCAAACAAGAAGCGGGGCAGTCGCTCGTGCCCACCACCCTCGGCATTGCGCTGGTCAACGGTGCGCTTTTTTCCTCCGTGGCTGTGAACCGCCTCCCCCGGCATTGCAATTGCTAATGGTTTCCATGCGGGCTGGTGGCCAATTTCAGCCTATGACGACATGAGTTTTGAAATATCCGTGGCTCGCCCGGACTTGCGACGCGAGATGGAGGCAGACATGCAGCGGTACGCTCAAAGTCCAAGGACCATGCAGGCGTGCTCCACCAATGGCGTACTTACGACAGGCCTGACTTGTCTATCTCTTGCCTTCGATTAGAGTGTGTGCTGGGGAGCGCAGCAAGGCACAGGTAGTGGCCCGTGTCATCAGTCAGTATCGCGAGGTCTTCCAGGTCGTGTGCCGAGAGGTTGGTCCAGCTTCGATGCTCAAGGATACCCGTTTACCGCCGACAGGGCACAGAGAACGCTTGTTTCTTTTAATGGCATGTTGCATCTGGTCAATCTGCGCCCCGCTCTTAGATGGATCGTTTTGACAATGCCTTTGTCCATCAATTTGGGGAAGCCAGTGGCGCGCCTCGTGAGACTTCCTGTTCCCTGGCCGTTTCCATGGCCGCGCTTGCAAAATTGGGCAGGTCTGATCGACTCTTTGCTTGTTGGGGGTTAATAGCAATGGTATCAGGCGAGGCGTGGCGCACTTGCCCCGAATGCAAAAAAGCTGCCCAGGCATTCAAGACTACAAAGGACAAGAAGTAGGTGAACGACCGTCCTGTATCCTTTTTGAATTTGATCGCGACAGATCAGCTGCCTGTGCCTCGCTGACGCGCCGGTTGGGAACCGTCATTTTATGCAGGTGGCTGCTATCATGTCGCGGCTATCCCAAGTGTCGCGCATCGCAATGGCTGGACAATTGCCAAAGCATTAGCGTGCTGGACCGCCACTGTACTCGCTGTCATGAGCGGTGCGTTTGCCACCTGCGTTTAGGGCGATGATTGTGGCCACTGGTTGAACCGGTACTGAACGATCGTTCTCAATCTAAATTGCGTTTGCGTGTTGCAGGCTCGTGCGCATCGAATTCCGAGCAGGCGCTTTACCCGCCTATTTGCACGTGGATGGATCTTCAGTGCACGAGGGCTGTTTGTGCTGCAGCGAGCCCATTGTCAATTTTGCCAATAGTCGTGGCCCGCTTCGTAAGTCGGCCATTGAGCAGTCTGTTCAAGATGGCGAAGAACGGCACTTGTCTCATGCGTCTTCTTCTGCCCGCCCTCACAATCATGGTACTGGACAGAGATCCGGCCGTCTGGCGGTCACTCCAACAGGTCTGATCATAGCGGTGGCGGTGGCGGCAGTGGAGGAGGTGGTGGCAGTGGAGGAGGAGGTGGTGGCGGCGGCAGTGGCGGAGGAGGAGGAAGCAATGTTCGGTCCCATGCACTCGGACCAGTGCAATCGGGCATCAGTCGCAACCGAGGCATCAGGGCGCAAGGCTTCAATGGCGATGATGATGATGATGAAGATGATGAAGCGCTGCTGGCAGCCATGGATGAGTTTGGGGCGAACCAATCAAGCTCCACCAATCGACCCCTGCAAAGTTACGATGCGGTGCCAGCAGCAGCGACGGTGCGCCTGTGCCCTCATCATGCTGTCCTACTTGTCAAAATCGTCTGCGAGTCTTGTCTTGACTGCACAGAGGACTGGAGACTGACTACTTCCATGATCGCATTGATTGCATATTGGATAGGCCACTCCGCCCGAAGACGTTCCTTGCTTTTGTGGCGTACCAGCCCTCCGTCTCACGGCAGCAACGCAAGCCAACGCAGGTACGAACAATGCCACTACCTCGTCGGGAGGTCCAAACTCCTTCACAAGGCTCGTGAGAAGGACCATGTGTGACCAGGATGACTGTTGTCCTTGGCATGCGTTGTGAGGTACGTTTCACTTGGGTTTGCTTTTGCAGGGCGACAATTTTTTAAATGTGGCCAAAATCCAGCGCAATGTGACTTTTATCAATTTTGCGATGAGCTTGGGCCACCCTGTGAATGTCGTCGGCCAAGCGTGGTGCGCGTGGCCAAGACTGGCGCCAATGCCGGTATGAAGCTGAAATTTGTCCAACCTGCTGGCCACTAGCCGTCAAGCTCGCTCATTGATGTGCCGGTTCGGGCCTAATCACATCACAGGGCAAAGCTTTTTCTCGTGTGTCAATCGGACGGACGGGTGCAATTTCTTTTCGGTGCGTCGCATGCATGGCGAGGGTTTGCAGCCTGTTTTTTTGTGCGCCTCGCGTTGCGTTGAGGCCTGTGATAATCAACTCTCATCACGCCGTGCTTTTGACTCGGGCGCTTTGCCAAAGTGGGTGGACCCTAGTTTGAATCGACAGGGCGGTGGTGCTAGCACTGCTGGCGGCGGTGGTGATGCTTCGGGACAGTGTTGTAATTGCGGTCAGCCAGCTGTGACGCGCACGGTCCGCAAAGAGGGCCCAAACCAAGGTTTGTGGCCGTCACGTTTTTAGGCCACCTCAGCAGCGGCGCCGTGCAAGCACGAACTCTTGAAGATGGGCTGACTTTTTCGGAATTGCTGGTGGCAGGCCGAACGTTCTTCTGTTGCGCCAAGGGCCGTGATGGGGGCTGCGGCTTTTTCTTATTTGCTGATGGTCAGTGCACTGGAAGTTTACAAGTTGCCCTTTGTTTTCAAAGCAAGACAACGAACAAACAAACGAACGAAGAACTAAACCTGCTCGAAACGGAGCTCACAGGACCATCGAATTTGATAGATGCTCCCGAGGACTTTCAGCGCGCCCAGTCGAGCAACTACTCCACCCAACACCGGGGTGGCGGTGGCAGCGGCGGTGGCGGCGGCGGAGGACGGCGACCGGCCGATCGTAGTTCCATGGAATGCTACAACTGCCATCAGGTAATGGGCGCTCATTTGGCCGGTCCCATGGCAATGAGACGGCAAGCGCTGCGGCGATCAAACGTACACAGCAGACAGTGGCTATTCTGATGTTGCCGGCCGAAGCTGAGGATTCATCCTCTCATTCGCGGGATTCTGTGCTAACGTTTTTGTTGCAGACGGGCCATTTTGCTTCCTCCTGCCCAAAAGTAGCTACGGGTGGTCCAATCAAAGCCCGCAGCGGCGGGGCCGCCTCTGGCACTATGAGCTGTCACAAATGTGGCCAGGTATGTTCCCAACGAAATTGCTACTCATAGTTGAGGGGGAGAAGGCGGTTACGTGATGCACTCTGATGTCATGCCTGGCCACGTGTGGATACTCCCTTGAGGGTCAGGTTGGGCACTTTGCGCGCGATTGCTCCAATGAGGATGGACGGCCCCCTGCAAAGAAACCGCGACTGTGCTCCGTCTGTCGGCAGCCCGGTATGGCTTGGAATGGCTGGCGTGGTGGTATCATGTTTGACAGCTTTGTCTTGCTCATCTTGATGATGGTGTTGGTGGTTGGGGGGGGGTTGCGTTGTAGGTCATACCAAACAGCGTTGTCCCCAGAACCAGTAGTGGAAGAGGTGGCAGACAAGAACCGGCTGCGCCGGCCCGTAGCGCCGAGAGGCGAGAGAGAGAATGAGAGGAGGATTGGGTATTAGAGAGAAAGCGTGAAGAGGATGAATGGGTTGACAAGCAATCGAGAGACAAAGAGTGTGTTTGACGATCACTTTGTGATGAGACGTATCGGGTTTGTGTCGTTTGCAAAGGCATGGTAGCGTTGTGTTGTGACGCGTTTTGCTGAGTTAATGTACTGTTTTGGTCAACTTGGAGTTGTTGCTGAGGGTTCATGTGCTGATTCGACGCCCGCCCCCTTTTTGGAACTACACATGAGCCTGCGCACGCGCAACGGCGCGCCAGCGCGTTTGAGAGCAAGCGAGGGGGTTGGGTGGACGGGGGTGGCAAAAGGGCGTTTGGACAGTGGGGAAGGGGGAGGTTAGGGCTTTGGATCGTGGCGGGCAGCCATGGGGGCATCCTCGTTCAAAGGCGCTCGCACCGATGATCCCCGGAGCCAGTGGAAGGTGAGTTGGCATCGCTGTGGGTCATGTGCAGGGGGAGGGATGGCACCGAGATGCAGAGAGCTAAAAAGGCTAATGTGGATGGCTTATGATCATGCGTGCCTTGGGGTGCATCCATGACCGGCAGCTTGTGCGGCAGCTTGGGGCGGGATCATACGGCAAGGTTGGTGTGATGCCGACTGGTTCCGAGCATGTTTTGGTGCAGCTTGGCGACGCCTCTCTATGTTTCTAGGGCAGCGTTGCATGTGCAGGGGTACTCATGCCGTGGATCACGACTGGCAGGTTCATCTAGTGCAGCGGCTGGCCAATCAAGTCGAGGTGGCAGCGGCCAAGGTGGCTGAACTGGCCTCACGCGTGAGTCTTGTTGGCGTCGTTGAGCGTGAGCTTGCGTGAAGATGGCTTGGTTTTGGGTTACGAAATTTGGAGGCTGAGGTCTCACGAGATGACTACTGGACTCTGGCTTACGCATGCATGTGACCTGGTTCGGGGCGCTCGGTATGTGGCGTTGATCAGGCTGACTTGGAGTTGTTTCGGGACGAGGTTCAGATATTGTCGACGCGGCGACACATGAACATTACGCAGCTGGTCGAATGCTTTCTGTTCAATTCCAAAGAGCTCTGGATTGTGATTGAGCTGTGTGAAGGGGGATCACTCAATGACCTTCTGCAGCGTCACCAGCGCAATCTGAGCGAGCACGAGGTGGCGCCAATTGCCTGGCAGACTCTTGCTGGCCTCGACTTTCTGCACAGCAATAATGTTATGCATCGGTATGCTTTGGCACCCCAGCGGCGAGTTGGGCGTCGAAATGGGTCGTTGACATCGCTTAGAATTGGACTCAACTCGATACTGTGCCGGCAGTGACATCAATGGCAGCAACGTCATGGTATCCAAGCTGGGCATGATCAAGATTGGCGACTTTGGTGTGTCGGCCATTCTGCGCAATCCCACGGACACACGGACATCCTTTATCGGGAGTCCCAATTGGATGGCGCCTGAGGTTGCTCGCTGCGAGAATAGCAAGGGGTCCTATACGGTCAAGGTCCGTAATCGGTGGGAGTTGCGGCTGAAGGAGGGCTTGGAGTACAGCTTTTCTCGGCATTGATGCTTTCGGTCGGCCGCCTCATCCTTGCGATTGACCCTGTATGTCTTGCCTTTGCCAGGCGGATGTGTGGTCTACGGGGGCCATGTTTATGGAGCTTGTGCAAGGCCGGCCCCCTTACGCAGATCTCAATGCCGTTAAGGTGCGGAGTGTGTGCCAAGAGACGCGGGGGGGGGGGGGGGGGGGGGGCTTTTGTTTCCTTTGATGGCTTGGGTGGGTCCTGGTAAAATAGGTGATCATCAAGCTCAGCACATCACCCAAACCACCACCACTGGACCAGGTGAGCGTAGATGTCACAGGCGGGACAAGGACGGCAGCGGCGATGGCGCGGAATACTCATGTTTTTGGCGGCTGGGGCATATGTTGTGACCGTACAGCCAGGGGCCTTTAGCTCTGCATTTCAAGAGTTTTTGGCGTGTGCCATGACCGTCGACGCCGCGCGCCGACCGACGGCCCAGGAACTGCAGGCCCATGTCTACTGCAAGTGAGTACTGCTTTGTCACGCGATTGAGTCGAAGCGGGATCGATGGGCGGCGGGGGTTTCTAAGCTGGTAGCGACTGTGGGTAGCTAGGCTTGATTTCATTCTGGTGCCTTTGTGCTTTTCGTAGAGACGGCAATGACCGCGATGCGATTATTCAATTGATGGGCGCGGACGCAACCGAGCAAACCTCGTAACACGCGCGCGCCATGGTGAGCCATCCGGGTGCTGATCGGCCTCAAGCTCTTGGCTAGAAAGTCCTGCTTTTATTTCTCCCTGATATCATTTCCCCCCAGAGCCATGGGCCTTGAGAGCTGCGAGTCTGCTGATCGCACGATCGACGCGGGTCGTCTTTGTGTGCGCAGGCATGGCCCTTCTTGTCCCTGTATTTCTCTGTTTTTTTGTTTTGTGTTTGGTTTTGACAAATTGAACAGATCAAATTCTTGCCCGTGCCTGTGCTACATCGCTCTTGTGTGCCCGACAGCGGAGTTGAAAGCTCTCCCTTGTGGATCCGTGCCAAGGGATTGGTGGTTGCGGTGTTGATAGTAAGCAGAAATCTTCATCGCTCGACGGCGAGTCTGCCAGGTGTAGTGGAGACTCAACGACCTCAACGAGTGACCGTTACAGTGCGTTTATTTTTAGACTTTGTAACGGTTTTCTGTTTGAGAGAGAGAGAGAGCGAGAGAGAGAGAGAGAGAGAGATAGAGATAGAGATAGAGAAAGAGATGATCACAATCAAGAACTAAGAGAGACAGTCTGTTTGGGAGAAGTTTCATTGAGGCCAAACAACGATGATCAGAGATTGTATCCGACGCTGGAAGCAAGTAAGAGAGAGCATATGTTCGAGTCAATGCGGCAGAGCAGAAGCGCCAGCACGATCAAGGCTTTTGTAACGGTCACATCGACGCGGTCGGGCTCGCCTGCTAATTTTTTGTTTGCCGCTGTTGTCGTTGCCGCCGTTGCCGTTGCTGCCGTTGCTGCTGCTGCTGCTGCTCGTTGGCGGTTGACGTTGTTGTGTCTGTCTTGGTGGGTTGAATCAATCGGCAGCCCGCTGCACAAGTCGATCACTGTTTGGTAAGCTTGCCCCCGTTTCGCCTGCCGTTGGTCTTGCCCCCGTCTTGCACCTGGCTTGCACCCTCGAGCGTCATCTCCCCTTGCCCCGACGCTGCACCGTTTCTTTGCGCCCTCCTTTCATAGCACCGCTGTGCTGGCGTCTCACCTTCAGCGACTTTGTGTTCTTGACTCTTGTCTTTTGGGATGCTTTTGCAGGGACTCGACCGCCGCCACGAGTCTGTTTAACCTGATTCGAGGACAGCCGACCGCCGCGTTGGCCTTTGGTGCTCGTTCTCTCCTCGGTCTTCGACCCAATCCGCTCCCATCCCTTGCGGTCGCGGCTGCTCTTCGTCCTCCAAGCCTCCGACCCTTTGCTGTTGACGCTGCCACCACCACCACCATGTGCACACCTCAAGGTTCCATCCACATTATCATTGGCCCTATGTTTAGCGGCAAATCCACAGAACTTCTTCGCCGGATGCGCCGGTAAATTCCCTCTGCTTCATGCTTTGAGCTCCTGATGCCTTGACTTCTTTTTTCCTCAGCACCGCGGCTCATCCCTTTCTATCGGCCTCTTTGTACAACCGACCAGCTATGCCGTGGCGCAGCAACGGACCATGTTGATCAAGTACGCCAAGGACACCCGCTACGGCATTGATGGCGTCATCACTCACGATCAGTAAGCGCCAAGCTTGCACACGCCCGGATGCTACTTGACTGTTACGGGCAGAGACCTGGGGCCGACGTCCTCACCTGTTTGGTGGTCTAACATGGACGTAGTCAACGATCCACGGCCAAGGCCTGCTCGTCTCTCGCGGAGGTGGAAGATTCAGCCATGGATTACGATGTCATTGGCATTGACGAGGGCCAATTCTTCCCCGACCTCGTCAACTTTTGTGAAGAAGCTGCCAACCAAGGTCAGACTTTGTTGGACGGTTTTCATCCTTCTGTTTAACACTACGCCAGTCGACGTGTGCAACAGGCCACCTTTCCATTTTGGATGATGACGGCCCATGGGCTTGGCTGGGCCTCATCTCATTCGATTCCACCATCTGAATGGCTGTTGAAACTCAGGCAAAACAGTGATTGTGGCCGCGCTTGACGGAACCTTCCAGCGCAAGCCCTTTCCCAACGTCATGGAACTTATCCCCTTGTCCGAGGCCGTCGACAAGCTGCAGGCCGTCTGTGTGCGCTGCTTCAAGGATGCCTCCTTCTCCAAGCGCCTCGGCACAGAAACTCAGGTCGAGGTCAGTCCTTCTCGACGTGATGATGATGAGAAGGGAGCTTGCTCCTTTTGGGTTTGAAGTCGTGTCTTTGTAAGGGCTTATGCACTCTGTCTGTATCTCATGTCTGTCTGGCCGACAACTAGGTGATTGGCGGTTCGGACAAGTATGTGGCCGTGTGTCGTGAATGTTACTTTAAGACAGACCCGCAAACCCCAACCGCCCCCAGCTCTCCTCCGGTGCGTACCGCCCTGTGTGGACCGGTTTCGATAGCTGCGCACTTGATTCACCACTCGTGTTGTTGTTCTGGGAATGGCTATGCATCTGTACAGGAGGAGGGTCAACGGCCCCTGCGCGGTATGGACTTGCCCTTGTGCCACACGGTTGCTTGTGCTTCAATGGAGCTCCATCTCATTCGTGCCTCTGCTTATGCTTGATATATAGATGGCATTCGCCGTCTCAATTTTGACTAAGCCAAGAGGCTGTCTTGGTGTCCTCATTTTTAATGTCGAGCCGCGACATCTGGTGGACGCCAGAGCGCTGTTATGAGTGTCTTTGCTTCTGTTTTTTTCCTTTTTTTTGTCAACCTCGAGTCGATGGTGCACCACCTGGTGTGACTGTGCACATGAGGAGCCAGGCTTGCTATGACGTCGTCTTTCTCGTGTTCTTTTTTTGAACCCTTTCTCGTCTTGAGCTGCCGACAGTGGCGCGATTTTTATGTGGTTGAGTATCCCGCCGTGAATGTGTTGGCGGTGACCCTCCCGGTGTGATGTGGCTGTCACCCCTGTTGTCCCTAAAGCAGTACACTTCTCTTGTATGTGCATGTTTGTACCAAATGCGTTGCCTCTCTCCTTGCCTGAATTTGTACCGGGCCTGGATGGCGATCATTTATGTATCCAATCCCCTTGGGCGACCCAAGCATGTAGGGTCGATGGGAAATTGATCGAATTTTTCTTAAAACATGAAGACAGAAGATGCGGTATCAGGCAACACGGGCTCAAAAAACGTGTTTATGGGGCATTGGCATAGACCGGGTCCAGACCCGAGGTCTGCTGAAGATTGTATGCATCTCGCAGTAAGCAGGCGAGTAAGTACGCCAAGCACAGGCTGGCCAGGGGTACGCCACTCCAGTCGTATGCCAGCAGTGCCACTGCAGTCCCAATTTCCTGACCATTGGGCATGGGGCGCGTGGTGACATGAGGACTGATCAGGAAAAGAAAGAAGCGGGGCGGTTCCTACCAAAACACATGCCCAAGGCAGTCGGGCCAATGATTGCGGAGAGCCCAGATAGACATGAAAAAAATCAATAGAGGTGCTGCTAGCAAGGACCTGCGCCCAGGTTAGAGCCCACCAAAACTTGGTCTATGATCCATTAAGGCCGGGAAGACATCGCCAGGCAGCCACAGCGAGTGAGGCTGCAAAAGGGCTGGCATGTTCAAGATGCAGCACAGGGCCTTGTGGGGCAATAAGGTTGCGGACAGCGCACCGTCTGAAGTCCAAGAATGGCGCCAAGGACGGCCACGAAAAGGAGGAGACTGAGAACGGTGATGGCGGCGCGCGCACAGGCCACCCTTTGCCGCAGCCAGTAAGCCAGCAGACCGTCATAGCTGTTGCGTACAACAGCTTCAGGGCATTGGCAAGCTTGCGCCAGATCATGCATCTCAGTATCTGAGGTTTGCCAAGCACGCGGTTCATCAGCAGGGGGTGCGGTGAGTGGGGGAGCTGAGATTGCAAGGCTGCAGCTGCAGCATTTGGCCTTGGCCTCACTCTCGAGGCATAGCCATCGACAAGCAGGGCTCGGGGCCGTTGAGATCGCACCATTGGGATAGCGAGCGAGAACCCGGAAATTGAAAATGTACATGGCTTGCAAATACTCAAAACCTTCCGTGCCTGGCTCGAGCGTCTCGGCGTCAGAAGCAGGCTCGTCGGTGTGGCCTGCCGCCGGCCTAGCTCCTGTGTGTTTGCATGGAGGCTTCTCATGAATCAAGCGTCCATGGGCGCACGGTGCACAAAGCGGCGTCATCTGGCTGAGTAAAGATCGACTTACCTGTCTGTTTGCGTCGGCCTCGCGTTGAGATCACGCCGGTACGACCATTGTACAAGGGAATTTGGCGGCTACCGGGCTTCGCAGACGGCTCGGTGTCGTTGCCACTCAATACGCTGATGTTTCCCAATCGCGCCATGTGTGAGGAGCCTGTTGCCCAGCTCATCTTCACCAGCCTGATCAGTTGATAGCGCCTACCTGAAAGCACCGTAGCGCAACGCTACCAGCATCAAGTAGGCGACAAATGCCCCGCCATCGCGCGCCGCCTCCATCGTCGCCGCCACTTGGGATGCCACTGCAAACGACAAGAACAACAACAACAACAACTTGAAGAAGAAAAAAAAAATGAAAAAAAATAAAAAGTTGTTGATGTTTTACACACACACACGCACACACACACACACACACACACACACACACACACACACACACACACACACACACACACACACACACACACACACACACACACACACACACACACACACACACACACACACACACACACACACACACACACACACACACACACACACTCTCTCTCTCTCTCTCTCTCTCTCTCTCTCTCTCTCTCTCTGTCTCACCCTCTCATGGAAGTGCGTCTTCTTTTTTTCAAATGTGATTGGGAGTCAAGGACTGACGTTATTCCTCGGGGTCTGGGGGATGTGTCGACGAGGGCGGGTGGGACAAGAGGCGGGGAAGGCACCAGCGAGGTTTAAGACACGAAAAAAAAGCGTTGGGAACTGTGCAGAAAGTTCATATCTGATCGATTTTAAGTTGAATACGTGCAGGATCGGGCACAATGAACAGATGACGTATCACACACAGAAATGGAATGGCATGTCATCTCGGAAGGTCAGCAAACGCAACGTACGCCTCAGGCGTCAACGCTACTTGCAGCACAAGCTGGAGATGAGATGAACCATCAAAAACAGGCAGGGAATCAAAGCGTATGTTCATAGACGAAACAAGTAATTTACAGACATGGCGCATTGGCGCATAGCAAGCCGCCATGGCACCAATCCCGTGCGCACACAAATACACACGCACAGGCACAAATCTCTTAAGAGAGCTCGACTGCGGGGGCCTCGGTCTCATTCTGATTGATTCTCATAAAAGGCGAGTGGAGCTGAAACGTGGGAACCTACGACCATTCAATGTATGCAAAAAGTCAGAGCGGCAAAAGGGGCACAAGCACCCATACAAGTGGAATAAGGTAGCGTACCTCGCATTGAAAGGGGACACCGCGCTCGTTCGTTTCAGAAACCGGGACAAACGTAAAATGGCCGCTGCGGACGAGAGGTAAGGGAAAGTGAGTCCAGCCTGGCGGGCGGCGTGTCCAGGTTGCCATGACCAGGGCTTACCCCATGACTCCTTGGGGGGAGCTCAGCGAGATGCAGCTTAGAAACTGGAAGCACGAGTCCTCTGGTGCCAGGAGAGGAAATTGCTGCAAGATGCCTCGACCCGAAAGGTATTCGCGTTCACCCTATCAACACGACAGTAACAAGGAGTCGGTGAGTTGGGTCTAGCGCAAACACCGGGGGCGAATGGGCGGATGGGACGTAGAGGCTCGTACACTGTGGTTGACAACGGTCCAGCGCCGAGACAAAAGCTGCACGGGTTGATCGCTCAAGTTTTGAATGCTAACTTTGTAGTACCACTGCATGTCAAGGTTCAACACTTTCATGAGATCCACCGACATACAAGCCCAAACCACACACGTTCAAGAGGTGTCAGGACGGGTCAAAAAGCGCGGGTGAGGGTGGCGTACCGAATAGGGTTTGTCCAAAGCATTGGCACCGCGCATGCGTTTGAAGCCCTCGAAAACGGGAATGACCGTGACTTGCACATTGTTTGTCGTGCATCGGAACACCCTGAGTTGCACGTGGGACCGAAGTGAGCCAGGCACCGATTGTAATGAAGCTCCCTTTCGTCGGGTGCGCAAGGGCAGGCCTGCGTGCGGGGTGGTAACAAACTTTGTGTGACGAAGGGCATTGTCCGTGTGCTGCATCCATTCTTGCAGCGCCTTGCGCGGCTCGAGCTGCAAATCTGTTGAGGAATGACGGCCAGCCTCGGTTAGGCTGGTTTCTGGCTCGCCCAGATGCTCGCACGGGCAGGGGAGGGGCCTACGTACCCATTCCATCTTGAGTCTCTTGGAACAAAGTCGAGTAGAGGCTAGTGTCAAGCGAGGGGCGAGGGTCGATGATTGAGATTGCAAGAGCGACAGAACCGTGTCAGCAAAAGTGCACTGTAGTCAACGCCAGGACTCACCCGTGGCCCAGAGCACCTTGGGCGGTGGCGGGGGGAGTGTACGGGACCATGTCATCATGATCGACATAGTCGGTGTTTCTGTGTCATGCGGGAAAGAAAGTGGAGGGCAAGTGAGCGTGAAGGCGAGGAGGCGGTGGAACCTAGACGTGGGCACGAGGCACAGAAGACTCGGGAAAGAGCACGCACATGACAACGCCCGCGTTGGCGTGAGCCCAGGTTTGAGTGCCAAAGCCACACCGGCGATAAGCGCTTGCATCTGACTGGTCGCACAAGACCTGAAGCAAACAAGAAAGGACCCCCGTGAGTGACCGAGTGGATGGGCGTGTGGCACATGCCAGAGTGGACCAATCTGGAGCAACTAGGGGATGACATGGGTTCAAGGCGGGCCGCACCTGGTAAAAAGTGCCGGTGGTGGTTGAGGCTGTTTCGACGTCGCGAAGGCGGGCGCGAACGTTGTCAGACAGGTTGGGCGTCGGGGTGGCACGAGGAGGATAGACGAGGAGGTCTGCCTGCCACGGGTAGAGAACCACGCCACGGTAGCCAAGGCGACGGTGGAAGAAGAATTGGCCAGGGAAATAAGGCGAGTTGGGCGCGTTGATGTCGTTCATCCGGCCAAGCTCGATGATCCGGCTGTTGGAGGACACGCCACGAACCAACGGCACATGGCGCACGCCTCGAGTGGCCCGCACGCCGGTGCGACCCGCAACCACCGCTATCGTTGGCGTCGTCATTGAAGAAGACCCGACAAGTCTGCCCACCAATGGCTGCCAGCTGCTCATCCCGTCGTCGTTGCCGTTCTCGTTGTTGACGTCGTTGTCGTCGGGGCACCAGCCAGCCGTTGCGTCTCCAGAAACAACAACAACAACAACAACAAGGGGAAACCTTGTGAAGAGATTGGGTGACGGAGCAAGACGAGGTTTGTTTGTCTTGCTCTCGAGACAGACCCCGGTGACTCCGAGGCGCTTGTAGTTAGGCTTCTCACGGCTTGGCTGCCCGGTTCGGTTGATCAAGATGCTGGGTCAGGGGTTGACTGCGGGTACCTGACAGGGCGCGCGTGTTGTGTGTGTCTGCAAGGGCACGAGCAACCTTCAGCAGCGATCGATCGCACATCAAAAAAAAAACTGATTTCGAGTTTTTTTTTCTCTTTTTTTGGCGCCAAATCGAACAAAATACGTTTCAGCAAGATGTCGTAATATATGTGACAAACGTCACACTTTTAGTATAAAAAGGATGACAATGGGTTTGAAGGTTGGGAGGGGGGCTTGGATGACGCTGTTGGGGCCAAGAGTAAAATGCCACACAAGTTACTTAAGCTTAAGACAGCTGCCACAGAAACATCTGACAATACAAATAGTGTAGTATTTATTACACTTTACATGAAGAGTTATGATTACATCATCCGTTAAAGGTGTTGCAATCGGTTCCTGAAGCGTGATCAACGTAACACTGTGATTGTACATCTTGTGTGTGTGTGTGTAAAGGGAATTTAAAGCGAAAGTTGTCATATGTGTGTGGTGTGTGTGTGCAAGGGAAATGACGTGTGTAATAGAACAACACAAAGCTGGCAAGAGGCCTGAGGCTTGATGATGAGCTACGGGCTCCAAGGTTTTTTTTTCTGGATCCGTCGTCGGTGGACGGTCTGGGAGTCGTTGGGAGCAGGTGGTCTGGGGGGTGGAGGGGTAGTGGGCTGCCGGGGGTGACGGGCTGCGGGGTGTTGCTGGTGATTGGCCCACGCCGTCCTTTGAACTGATCTTGTTCTGTTGCCTAAATTCTTTGAAGCTCAATCAGGTGTGTGCGGAGGCGAGCATGCTCCGGATGGAGGGCCCCGCTGTGAGCCAATGAGGCCTCCACGCATGCTTGGTTGGTGGCATCGACGTAGTTGCCAGAGACGGCCATGGTTGGTGACGCCAGATTGGCGACCATGTGTGCGCTTTGACCCGGAACAAACAAGGTATCCCCGGGTTCCAATATGATCTGGTAGGGGCGGGCCAAGCGCAACCCAGGATGCGCTGCCAACACGTCGTCTGCCATGTCCAGTTCAGACCCCTCTATAGCAACAACGCAGACACCACCCCCACGTGCACGTGCAGGTATGAATATCCTTCCAAGAGGAAACACCTTCTGGCGTAGGACAGGGTCTACCCCCTTACCGATGGTCACGTCGGCCCAGGATAGAGGGAACTGCGCCGATGCATAATTTCGACCCAGCAAGAAGGTATCAGAGGCCGGGAAAATGATCCATCTGTGAAGAGAGCCACAGGCACACCCAAGTCAAGTGTAGCCCAGAGTTGCCGCACCGCTGCGCTCATGGCACCGGAACCATGGTTGAGAGCAGCAGTCGTACCTTTTCCGGCCAACCAGCTGCGTCATGAAAAAGTGCGAGCAGTAGGCATCGACGTGTAGGGCAGACCGGGCCCGCTCATCTCCCAGGAAGAGCGAGGGCCAATGCAAGCTGTACTGCGCCATTGGAACGTGCGCCAGCACATCACCCCGCGCAAAAGAAGGCCATCTACCGTAAAAGCAGCGCCATGCATGACACCGCGCGCAACCGGCCAAAGAAAAAACAAACACAAAAAAGCACACCCAGACGCAAACGCAATGGCAGCACGTGTGTCGGCCATGTACCTACGGAAAGTCTTCGGCAAAGGACGGACAGAGACGCGGGAGTGGCTGATCAAACACATACGCGTCGGCCATATCCACATCCGCCGTGGTTGTGTTGACCAGGGCCTCCCAAACGGACTGCAGGGATTGATAGCGGGCCGTCTGCTGAATGCCTGCCCAGCGCCCAATTTGCGAGTGCCGTGCGACCTGCACGTCCTGGGCTCCGCATTGCTGCAGCAGCTGTGTCACACCTGTCACGCCAGCAGCCAGTGTCGGGGCTGTCGGTGAAAACAAGGGCGCGCGCGAGCTGGCTCGAAGGCGCAGAAGTAACGCGTGCCTTACTGGCCGTGGCATTCCACGCTGGGGAACGCAAAACAAAGGGGACACCCTGCCTCGCGTAGTAGGCCGCATACGTGGCATCAGTGATGCGCGTCAGCACGTCCACGGGACGTAGTTGGAGGCGGTCGGAGCGCCGAGTGGTGGCGTTGGCAGCCGCCCAGGCCGCTTGTGCCCGCGCGTGGTCAGCCGCCGTGGCCTCTAGGTTGGCGCGCGTGTGTGAAAGCAAGGTGTGCAAAGCTGGCGACATGGGGGCAGGGGCCACCATGTCCAAAATCTCCTGCGCCGTGACATGCAGCCCTTGCTTGGCCAGGACGACTGCTGCTGCCAGCACGGCCTGTGCTTGCGCCACACCCGATCCAGGAGAACGCACGGACATGTGAGAGAACATGCAGCCCACAGGTGGTCAAGAGCCAAGGACTCAGCACCGACTGCTCTGACCTCGGGACGGCTCTGATCCAAACCCACGGCGTGATCGTAGCACTCGAGAGCCGCCGCCAAAAAGCCTTGAGCCTCGAGCTCGGCCCCCAGGTGCATCACGGGGTCATACTCGTGCAGTTGATCCAAGTTTCTACAGTGCAGAATGCCCTTGCGTCGGCGATGAGGGACAACCGGCACCCATAAGGCCCTACCTCACCCCATCAGAGCTTCACCACCGCTTGTGCTTGTATCAGGTACGAGCGGGTCGCTGAACGTACGCCACCAGTTGCTGGGCTCGTTGCTCATTCAATTCGCCATCGCGCAGCGCCTCGAGCTCCCGCTGCCAGCGCACGTGTTTTGACCCTGCCGCATCCCCCAGTACAGCCCCAGACCCCGACAGCAACAGGACGCACAGCCCCATGTACCACACACGAGCCATGCTTCGGGGCCCATTCGAGCTCTTCTTGGTTTATGCTCAACGACGTTCATTTGCATCTCTGAATTTGGTTCATTGCCAAGCGATTTCTCTGCGTTTTCGTTACTTTTCCAACGTTGAACGAGACGTAAATCTATCCGCTCTCTGTGCGAAATTCTCGATGAAGCAACCATCTCTCAACTTGCTGTCACACATCAACGTCTCTCACTGCTTTTGACAAAACCCTGACCTGTGCCCGGCTCGCTCTGGGCTCGATCTGCTTCAGCTCCCATCGGTGGGCCGTGGTGTCACGGTGGGTGGTGGTCGTGTTGTGTTGGAGGGATAGGTGGGGGTGTGGATGGGTTGTCGGTGGGGTTTGACGATTCGATTCGTTTAGCTCCATGAATCGCGCTGCGGTTCTTCTTTTCGAGTTCTGATCGATCATTGTCCGCCGTCTCGTCCTGGCAGCGACCGCCCACACGAATCGGTCACAAAGACATCCGGTTGAAGCTCGGCGTCTTCTCCTCGAGTTCTCCCGCGATTGGCATTGCCGGGATTCACCTGGGCTGTGGTCTGCCCCTTCACCTTGGGCTCTCTTCGAGATTTCGTCCATTTTTCTTCTGTCGTCGAATAGAAGCAGGATAGGCCCGGCCCGCCCCTACTGGCCCGACACGTGCCAGTTAGAGTGACGTACAAGTCGCCACAGAGGCAAACCGCTGTGCCGAAGAAAGGACCGGCGTCCACTCGCATGCGTGCGCTAACAGCAGCATGACCCAGCTTGACGATGGCTCGGGCGAGGGCCGGCCTTTGTCTCACGGCACGGCGGCCCGGGCGATGGCCAGCCATGGCAACACAAAACCCAGTCTCGAATGCTGCCACCATCGCTGGCGCGTGGCCCCAGATGACTTTAGCTTTCACGGCTGGGGCCCGCTTGTTGTTGATGTCTACCTGACCACCGTGGCCATTCTGTTGCTCGTGTACATGGCCGGCAATTTTTGTGAGCGCAACAATCTCATGCTTGCTGGCGTCATTACCTGGGTTGTCGCCTCCCTGCTTGGTCTGATGGTCCAGGTCATTCTCTCCGCCGTTGGCTGTGCCAAGCACATCAACGATCACCGAATCTCTCCTTTGTTTCCCGTCCTCTACGCTCTTCGCCACACAATCAATATTCTTCAGGTACCCGTGTGGTTGCACACCCCAAGCCTTGCCAGCGCAAGGAGGTTCTGCTCAGAGAGCAAGTTTGGTCGTTCTCCCTCTCTTACGTTGACTTTGACTCTTCTAGTTGGGGGCAATCGTCCTTCTTGTTGTGACGCTGGCCGAGGGACAGCTCGATTGTGAGGGCGCCTTGCACGGCGACCTGCATATCCTGGCCATTGTCGGCATCTGCCTGGGTGGCGTTCTGGTGCCTACCGATTTACAGGCCTAATTTTTGCTTCACGCAT